GATAGAAGCATGTGCTCTTGAGAAAGTATTTGTATGTCTACTTGTACTTATTGTGTTGTTGGCATAGGATATTGAGCTACTGCCTGAAGGTGATTTGACTCTAGTAGGAGAGAGAGGAGTGACTCTCAGTGGAGGACAGAAAGCTAGAGTAAATCTAGCGAGGGCAGTCTATCGTCAAGCTGATGTTTATCTTCTTGATGATCCTCTGAGTGCAGTAGATGCAGCAGTCAGTAGACATCTTTTTGAGAGGTGGGTATAAATTACTTTGTGACAATAATTAATTAAATGAAATTCACTGGCATGTGTTTAATTTGAGCTGATTTTGATCAAGTTTAAATTCTTAATAAATTTCTAAAGCCAAAAATTGGGTCAAAGACCATGGGCTATAGCACATGGTTTTTTGGCCAAATTTAGTCAAAATGGCTAGGAGAAAATTTCTCAACTTTTATAATTTTACCTGGTACGTATGCATGTTCTTATGTTATGTTTCAAATTTGAGCTGATTCCGATCAAGTTTAGATTTTATACGAAATTTTTAAGTTACTCAGAAGTCGGATCAAAGACCATGGGCTATAGTACATGGTCTTTGGCCAAATTTCATCAAAAATGACTAGGAGCCAATTCTGCTTTTTTATAATTTTTTTTGATACATATACATGTTTTTATGTTATTCTTCAAATTTGAGTCAATTCCGATTGAGTCTAAATTTTTTACAAATTTTTAAAGTTCCTCAAAAATTAGGTCAAAGACCATGGGCTATAGCCTTTGGTCTTTGGCCAAATTTTGTCAAAAATGACTAGGAACCAAGTCTTCATTTTTATACTTTTTTCTGATACACTTACATGTTTTTATGTTATTTTTCAAATTTGAGCCAATTCCAATCAAGTTAAGATTTTTTACAAATTTTTAAAGTTACTAAAAAAACAGGCCAAAGACCATGGGATGGTTTTTGGCCAAATTTTATCAAAAATGGCTAATAAAAAATTCTCAATTTTTATTACATTTTTCCAATGCATATACATGTACTAAAATTTGCTTCAAAATAGTAATAGTGTATGCACTATTACTGTTTTGAAGCAACTTTTAGTAAGTTTTTGTAATTGACTGATGTCTGATACATGTATTTTTAAAGGTGTATTCGTGGAATATTATCAGACAAGATTGTTATACTAGTAACTCATCAAGTACAATATCTTGAACGATGTGATGCTATACTTGGACTGAAGGAAGTGAGTAATGATGTAGAGTTTTATTTATAGAATATTCTGTTAGGGTTGTGTGTTAGTGTATGGTAATGCAAGGGATGTTCTGAAAGAGGACAGTGGTATATTTGAACTATTAGCTGATGATACCAGTACTTCTGATGATGGCTTTAACATCAGGAAACAAAGTATTAGTACTGGATTAGAACCACAAAGTAAACAGAATCATAATAAATTTATTATTTATAATCTTATGATAGCATTGGTGACGTTTGAACAAAAGCTAAGCAGTTTGAATGAAGAAAATGATGATCATGAAAAAGATAATTCTGTTGAACAATCTCAAGAAGAAATAGCTTCACTCAAGAAAATCTCTTCAACTGACACAGTGAGTCTATTATATTATGAATATTGATTCACATAAAGTGCTTTATAGGAGGAAGTTGCTACAAAAATGTCAGTACCTGCTGAAGAACGTGCTCATGGAACTGTATCAGGAAAAACATACTTTAAATATTTTATTGCAGGAGGAGGATATGTTTTTACTGCTATTATTATATTAATTATCATCCTAACTGAGGTTTGTTTGTTCATAGAGTAAAGGTGTTCAGATATAATATATCTATCACTTTAGACAAATCTTGTCATTGCTGACTGGTGGATAGCAGATTGGTATGATTGTACTGACGTATTGAATATGATTACTTACTGATGATATAGGGCAGACTGTGAATCAGAGACTAATCTCAATAGGTCTACTTGTTTTCTGTCTGACAATGAGCGTATTGGAATATATGGAGGACTTGTAGGATCATTGGTCATATATGGGACTTTAAGATCTGTTCTAATTTATGGACTACTTCTTAATGCAGCAAGAGTTGTTCATAATAGAATGTTTGCTAGAGTATTAAGAGCTCCAGTTTTATTCTTTGATACTAATCCAATAGGTATTGAGTTAAGTAACATTTAGTCTTTACGTTTCATTGATACTTTGATAGGTCGCATTTTGAATAGATTCTCCAAAGATATTGGGTTTTTAGATGATCAACTTGTTTTTACTTTTATGGATTTTATATCTGTAAGTGTATGATGTGATCCAATAGCTAAGTAATAATGCTAGTACATGTATATTAAATTTAATTTTCTTTGTAGATATTTTCACGGTTTCTTGCTATCATGATCACTGCAGCTGTTGCTAATTTTTACATTATGATAGCTGTTGTAGTCATGATTGTATTTTCAGTGATATTCAGATGGTATTATTTAAAAACTGCAAGAGACGTAAAGCGATTAGAAGCTTTAGGTCAGTGAATAAATAAATTTGTAATGCTTGTGATGATATTTTGATATTTTAGCTCGTAGTCCTGTCTATTCTCATTTGTCACTAACTCTACAAGGACTGCCTACCATTAGGTCTTATTGTATGCAAAGCAAAGCAATAAATCTTTTTCACAAGTTTCAGAACCAGCACTCCCAAGCCTCCTATTGTTATATTGTAACTAATAGGTATGCTATGCTGGAAATTAATAATTCAAAGAAACATTTCTTTTATTAGATGGTTTGGTATGAGGATTGATATAGCCAGTTCACTGTTCATTGCTGTTGTAGCTTTTTTATCTATTCCTTTATCTTCAAGTAAAAGAAAATCTCTGTTCACTGCATCATAAAACTTGTTATAATTCTTTTAGCATCCAATGCAGGTTTAGTTGGATTATCATTGACATATGTTATATCACTCAATGGTCTTTTTCAATATTGTGTTCGTGTGAGTGCTGAAGTTGAGAGTTTGGTAAGTGAATTAAGTTGTTTGTGATGATCAATCCGTGTCCTTTAGATGGTATCAGCTGAGAGAGTGATGGCTTATGGTAAACTAGAAACTGAACCATCTTTGGAAACCGATCCTTCAATTTCACTGAGTTCAGACTGGCCAACCAAAGGACACATTGAGTTAAACGATCTTTCCTACCGTCATTCAAATGAAGGACCACTTGTACTTAGAGGAATTACATGTAACATTAAACCAAGTGAAAAAGTAAAAAGACAAAGTATATTTTAAATATTGAACTTTGTACTATAGATTGGTATTGTGGGTCGTACTGGAGCTGGTAAGTCATCTCTCATTGGAGCATTGTTCAGACTAGCTGAACCAACTGGTAGCATTAAAATTGATGGAGTAGAAACTACTC